GGGATATTACTGCTAGTTGCAGGGTAGTGGGCTGCCATTCGGCTGGTGTTTGACTGGGAAGGGCCATTTTGAATGGCTGCTACTGTAGTAGTTCAGAAAAATGCTTATACACTTTAATACAGTGGAAATTAAAAAAAAAACTATAACCTAAATTTACTTTTTTCACAGACATTTACATATTCGTTGCCAACTAATTTTAACCAACTTGCGGCTGTGTTCTGGACACTCCCAACCAATTTATAGCCCATTACATTTACAGCCATACTCCAATATTTGACCAAAGTCTAATGCTGATGAAGATTCCTAGTCATCCAGGTCATAGTTATTCAGTAAACGTAAAAAAACAACAAAAAACAATCCACTGGACTTGGTTTCCAAGATTTGAAGACGTTTCGCCTTCCACTCCAGGAAGCTTTCTCAATTCAAATGTCTGGATCCGCAGTGAGTTTGAGTCTTTATATAGACAAGACCTTGTATTGCTTGGAAACATACCAATAGAAACCGAGGAGTGGGTCAAACGACCCACTCCTCGGTTTCTATTGGCATGTTTCCAAGCAATACGGAACCAAAGTCTAATGTTGATGGATGCCAGAGCTAGTCCAGAGTCAGTCGACAACAAACTGCATCAGCAGGAAACAGAAAGAGCACAACTTGTGTGTTTTCAAAATATTTAATGAAAGATAAAACAGATTTTTTTGAAGGTCTTGCTATTTTGATAAATATAAACATATATTGAGGCAGTTTTATATATTCAATTAAAGTTTCTCTCCTTTATGTAGCTGTTCTTTATATTTATGATAAACAGCTGCAGTCAAGTAGTTAATCAGCTGCAGGCTCAGTTCCTGTCCATCATAGATATGGCTTTAGCTGTCCTTAGCGGCTTGCTTCTCTTTTAGGTTATTCGTTCAGTTTTTGTTGGGTTGGAAGAAACAAGAAAATCCAATCTCTTTAACTAGTTACTTCAAAAAAAAGTGATTGAACTCAATGAGGGACCTACATTTTGGATTACAGCCTTTTTCTTAAAACGAAACATGTCTTTACGTCCTGCTGTTAGAACTATATTAGACAAAGAGAGAGAAAAAAACTCATTTTTGGATGAGTTTCAAACACTTGAAAGTCAGCACTGTATCCTCTGTAGAAAGTGTGAAACTAAAACCTCATACAGTGTCAGACTTACTTTGGGGAACGGCAGAAATAATGAAGCTCAAAGTAAAAAGATGCTTTTAGCTTCTAAAATTATGGTGCTTTTGTTAGAGATTGACAGAAAATGCGGGAAACGTCTCAGACAAGGGAACAAAAGAGGTCTTGTTTTTGTGACTAACAGACAAGAGTGGGTGTTTAGTCCAAAAATATCCTGAATTACT